GAATTGAATGATCACCTGGGTACAACACGAGGCTATATATAGGCTCGACACAAGGCCCCGTAACCAGGTGTTACGCGAAGGTTTCGCGGGTCGCGAAGCGTCCCGAACAGATCCTTACCGAATTCGGTAGAAGGAAATTCGGTGGCAACCGAAAAGCTAGAATTCGGTGCACGCAACCTAGCTCGGTGCTATAACTATTATAAAATATAGGAAAGCACCTAGCCTAGGAAATCAAGCAATTCATGCATGCATATAATTATCCTATGCTAGAAATAGCATAATAAAGTAAAGGCAAGCAAGCATAGCTGGCATAAGCCGTCGTACTCTCACACCCAGGCTCAGTACCCATAGACGCAGCACCCCCAGACTCAGCACCCCTAGGCTCAGCACCCCCAGACCCCCAGCTCCAGCAGCGCCAACTCCAGCACCCTCAGAAGCACCAACGCCAGCAGCACCTCCAGCGTCAACACTCCCGGCAGCTCTAGCCCGAGCTGGACCACCGGAAGTGCTCCATACCCAGTACCGCCAGACTCCACATGAGTAGGCCCAACACCCTAAGGCTCCGCACCCTCAGGCTCCGCACCCCCACTCTCAGCACCCCAAGGCTCAGCACCCCAAGACTCAGCACCCCCAGGCTCAGCACCCTTAGACTCAGCACCCCCACACTCAGCACCCCTAGGCTTAGCACCCCCAGACCCCGCACACGCAGGCTCAGCACCCCTAGTAGCACCAGAGTCAACAGCTACCTCGACAAGCTCGACTGCGTCTACCTGGGACACACCTGAGGGGGCAGGACCATGAGGGGGAAGGGGTTCTACCAGGGGGGGACCTGGCGCGAGGAAGTGCGGCGGTGGGGGGAGGGGTGCAATGTGGTTGGGGAAGAGACGGTAGTTACGAACCGACTCGTCAAACGTGACGTCCTGAGAGGACAGAACACGGCGCGAGGTGGGGTGGTAAAACTGCCAACCAGGCGCGTCAGGGGGGAAGCCAAGGAAGACGCAGGGAACAGCACGGGGGGACAGCTTGTCCGAGGACAAGTCACGGACAAAAGCCCGAGATCCCCAGACACGAAACGCAGACGCGTCGCCAACCTTCCCTGTCCACCGTAGAGTAGGGGAGGTCTCCGGCAAGGCGACCCGGGGCTGAAGATTGATCTGATGCGCCGCGTACTGAACCGCGTACGACCACAAAAAATGGGGAGCAGCCACATGGATCATGGACATACGAGCGACGCCCATGACCATGCCAATGCGGCGTTCAGCAATCCCATTTTGTTGTGGAGAGGCCGGAAGCGTGAACATCTGGCGGATGCCCCGTGCACGAAAGAAGGCTCGCAGAAGGTCAGAGGAAAACTCTCTGCCTCTGTCGGAGTGCAGACGCAGAACAGCAAAGTCCGAGCCGAAACTCTCTCTGAGCTGGAGACGAGCTGCGCGGATCCAATCGATCAACACCTCAGTGACCTCACCCTTGCTGCGCAAGGGGAAGACTGTGGTGTAACGCGAGTAGTCGTCAACGACCAGCAGGAAGTAACGCTCGTGACCCTGTCCACGGACGCGGGTGGGGCCCCAAACGTCCTGGTGAAGTGTTTGCTGCAGAGCCTCTGTCGGAGGAAACTCGTAGGAGTGAGGAGCGGCGCGCTGCCGCCCCTCGACGTAGGGAACGCAGGTAGGGGCAAGCCCCGGAGGAAGAGGAGGGAGGGACGGGGGGAGACCAGAGACAAGGACACGGGAGGCCATGCCTAGGAGACGAGGCAGGGAGGGGTGACCAAGGCGGTGGTGCCAGAGGAGAGTCCGGTGGGACAGGAGACGACACGAGCAGGGGGCAGACTCAGGACCAGACCTGGACGCTGCAGCAAACACCTGACCCGACGCAGCTACCTGACCAGACGCAGCAACCGGAGGAGACTCAGTAGTCAGTGTGTACAGGCTCGACCCCTGCTGACGAGTAAACGTGGCCAAGTGTCGGCCTGTCCGAGCACACGTGCAGTGGGTCACTCGCTGACTCGCAGGAGTGAACTGGTCAACCTCCCCATCCTGTAGATCAGCACCACTCACCAAGTTCGTAGAGTACGAGGGGAGGTAAAGACCTGACAGGGTGCCAGAAGGGGCCGCCGGAAACGGTAAGACAGTGGAGAAGTGGGCAAGGACAGGACCCCCAGAGGGGTCTGCCAGGGAGACCGCAACTAGCCAACTAAGCGGCATGAGTGGGGTGCGGTCTCGAAAGGTGCAAACATCGTCGGTGGTGAGAAGGGCAGGCGTACGACGGCGGCAACAGCGAGGCCGCTACTACTTTAGGGCGAGGGCTCCGCGCCAGCTGCAGGGGCGGCTGCTCAAAGGGGCGGCTGTTGCAGGGGCGGCTGCTCCAGGGGCGGCTGCTGCAGGGGCGGCTGCTCTAGAGGCAGCTGCTATAGGGGCGGCTGCTCCAGGGGCGGCTGGTGCAGTGGCGACTGCTCCAGGGGCGGCTGCTGCAGTTGCGGCTGCTCTAGGGGCGGCTGCTGCAGGGGCGGCTGCTCCAGGGGCGGCCGTTTCAGGGGCGGCTACTCCAGGGGCGGCTGCTGCTGTGGTGGCTGCTCCAAGGGGGGCTGCTCCAAGGGCGGCTGCTGCAGGGGCGGCTGCTCCAGGGGCGGCTGCTCCAGGGGCGGCTTCTGTAGTGGCGGCTGCTCCAGGGGTGGCTGCTGCCGTGGCGGCTGCTCCAAGGCGCGGGTTAGGGCAGGGCGCCGCGGCGGGCAGGGGTGATGCCACGCGGGTCCCGCAGGGGCGTCGCGACGCGTAGGAGCCGCGCCTCGCGGGTCCCGCAAAGGCGTCGCGACGAGGCAGGGTCGACGCGCGGGTCCCGCTGAGGCGTCGCGACGAGGTAGGGGCGACGGGGCGGGGCCGCGACTGGCGACGGGGCGGGGACGTGACTGGCGACGGGGCGGGGCCGCTACGGGCAGTGGGGCGTGGCCGCAAAGGGGTCGTGAAGGGGGCCGCGAGGGGGCCGCAAAGGGGCCGCGAAGGGGCCACGAAGGGGTCGCTAAGGGGCCGCGAGGGGGCCGAGAAGGGGCCGCTAAGGGGCCTTATGGGGCCGCGAAGGGGCCGCTAAGGGGCCGCGAAGGGGTCGTGAAGGGGACGCAAAGGGCCGTAAAGGGGCCGCTAAGGGGCCGTGAAGGGGCCGCGAAGGGGCCGCTAAGGGGCCGCGAAGGGAGGCCGCTAAGGGGCCTCGAAGGGGCTGCAAAGGGGGGCCACGACAGGCCTCAGGAGCAGGGGAGGCCGCTAAGGGGCCGCGAAAGGGTAGGGCAGGTCAGAGCGCGAGGCGCACTTCGGGCAGGTTAGGAAAAACAAATGGTGGGCCCTTAGGAAGAAACGGTCTCACTAGGGAACCTTCTTTGATACCATGTGAGAATAACGAGGAATGGAATGACTAGGCAAGATGTGGGTACAAGTAGGAAACCTAGAAATGTTGTACCCTATAGTGTCTAGCCCACTACAGCCTAGATAGATCATAGCATATAAGTTTGACAACTTCTTCTCAGATGAGGTCCCTGTCAGAAGTACGAACGAGAATGCTAACAGAAAGAAGAGGGATTGCATTAGCATGTAGAGGGGATACAAATACGAAACCCTAACAAGGCTGTACTCACTACTGAGTACCCCTTGCAGACTAGACAATATAGCATTCTGACACACCCCCATAGGCAAAATGGGGTATAATCAGCACAACAAGCAGTCAAGAGCAAGTTCACAAATTAGCCCTAGTGGCAGACATAGTAGAGGGGCGGTGAGGAGGAGGAGAGACTACGAGAGGAGAGGAGTTCGGAGGCGGCAGGTGAAGCTGCTGACACACGGGCAACGGAGCAAGTGGCACACTGGCTACCGGAGCAAGGGCCCCAAACTACTGGGGCGACTGGCTCCGCGGCTAGACGAGTAGCTGGAGCAACGGACCCATGGGCGACTGGAGCAACGGGCTCACGTGCTACCGGAGCAAGGGCCTCGGACTACTGGAGCAGCAGGCGACACAGCAGCTACCTCCTTCCAACCTTCCCCCATTGCCCCCAAACCCTTTTCTTACATCCCCCCCCGGCTAGTGCCACTCCCCAACCTCACCCTCTTCATCCCCCCCTCAGCGGCAGCTGCAACAGTGGAAGAGAGAGGAGGAGGGGCAGCTGGTCACGCACTCCCACCACCCCCATACCCCCCCTTACCCCTGCCACCCCCATACCCTCCACACGGCTGCACGAGCAGCAGGAAGTCGAAGAAGGAGGGGGGGAGGGCGGGCGTCGACGCGACGTGCAGGGCGCGGGGCTCGTTGATGGTTGACGAGGCTCAAAATTTTCTTCAGAAGCGCTCGTGCAGTTAGCGAGGTTTCTCGCAAGTCGCCAATTTGTTGCACGTGCACAAAAGTGCACAGGTTCACTTGAACGTGCGCACGCATGTTCAGGCATTGATTCCGAGTCCCGTTCGGAAATCGGATTTACACAAGCGCGCAGCTCAAATGTTTGTGTTTTCGCAACAGTGCATCCCGAAATTGACGAAGGCTGGTAACCCTATTCAATTCTAAGTGTGTCATGAATCTGAAATCGATTTACACGCGCCCTAAGAGTGTTTAATATTTAGAACAGTGAATACCCCGTAACCAGGCCAAAACGTCTGGCACAATAGCGCGCTCGAGCGCTGACAGCAGACGGAACACGACACGATTTTGCCATCCTCTCTACCCCTCCCACAGTCCCCATGCTCAAGGGGGGTGCGAATCTGTGGCTGTCATTTGCAACCAATCAGCAGGTTTCGCCAAGATATTTATCCTAAAAGCTGGAATGCGCGGAACTGAATCGATTTCCTCCTTTATTGGTTCCTTCCGTTAGTCGGCACGCCTCAGCGTAAGGCGATTCTGCTTGCCCATTCCTCCTCACATGGTCGACGCAGGGTGCTACTGATCTCTAGTGTCACTCTGCAGTGTTTAGCCCCCTCCGCTCATCGCAAGACTACCCATTGGTAACCAGGCTCACCCAACCGCACGACATCATGACAGGAGCAGCTGCAGCCTCCAAATTGGGCGGCGCGGCGGCGATTAAGTACGTAGCGGCGGGATGGGCGGCATTCACGGGGACGCACCTGGCGATGTCGCACCCGCCCGTGCGCGAGGCGCTGATTCACCAGCTGGGCGACGAGGGCAAGTTCCGCGGGCTCTACTCCGCCGTGTCCTTGGCCACCTTCGCCCCCACCACGTTCCTCTACATCAGGTGCCTTCCCACCCCCCGGCCCCCCGACGCCGCTTCTCGCGCCAGCTGCTTACGACGCGACGCGCCCGCGCCTTTCCCCATCTCCTCGAAGTGGGACCCATCCCACCGTGGGTAACGTGCACCACTCTTCCCCCCCTCCCCCCCCACCCCCGCCCTCCCAGGCCCATCACAGGTATAACGCGTGGCTACCCAGTGGGTGAAAGCGAGGGTGGTATTGAGGCGCAGCGGATGCACTTAACCTGTGTGTAAGCCCCGCATGCGTTACACCAGGCCCCGCATCTCTTCATCTCTTCCACTCCCCAACCCCCGGCCACTCCCCGCGCCCCCCATGCAGGTACGCGCGCGGGCACGGCGTGGTCCCCGGGTGGACAGCGCTGGTTGAGGGCAACAAGGCGGCGCGCGCGGGGGGCGTGGCGCTGAAGGTGGCGGCGGCGGTGATGTACGGGCAGGCGATCTCGACGCCCAACCCCATCATGGACCGCGCCATGCGCGCCGCGGACACGGGCAAGGACAAGCAAGGGGAGCACGCCGAGGTGCGGCGAGGGCGCGGGTGGTGGGTGGGTGGGGCGTGGTGGTGGTGGGAATGATGCGTTGCCATCAGGTTGTGGTGAGGTCGTGGGTCCCCTGCACGTTCTCTTGGATCCGATTCGTTGCGCCACGTGCGGTGAACGTACGGGACCACCTCCTCACTGCTTCTGTTGGTGCTGGGATGGGATGTGGAAAGGGGGAGGGGCGACAGCATGCAGTACGTGCGTGTAGTTGGTTTAGTCAGGGAGGCAGACAGACAGTGCCGTCACATCTTCCACTTCTCAAAACCAGGTGGGACTCATGCGTTGGTGTACCAAGCTAACTTCCTGCATCCCTATCGTATGCAACGCACGCATCATGGCAAGAAGAACCCACTGACAAAGAGCCCCTCCATCGTTGTCGTTCCCCCCAACCCTCTTCCCACCGTGTCCTTCCCTAGGCGGGAGAGCAGCAGGGCAGCGAGGTGGCAGTGAAGGGCGTGTACCGCATCACACGCCATGCGCTCTTCACCTCCCTCGCCTTGCTCGGTGCCGGCAACATGCTCACACGCCCCTTCGCTGGTCAGTGCCCTTCCCTGCACCGCTACCTACGCCTTCTCCATCGTTTCTCGATGTGCCACTGCCCCGCTTCTCGTCCCACTCTTGCCAGATGAGTAATATCTCGTCGCTCAACCCATCCCCCCCCACCCCACCCCCACCCCCAACCCCCGTTCCAGGCCGCAGAACCACCTCCCTGTCCACTGTTCCTCTCGTAGCTTCCAGATCCAATTGCTGGGTCATCCAACTTGCTCCCACCTCCGTTGTGCAACATGCCTCCTTTCTCCCGAACAATAATTGTCATCGCTCCCTTTTCTGAAACGGTCTTCCACCCCCCCCCCCCCCCCCCCCCCCGTGGCGTCTGCCCCTTCATTCTGCGCCGTGACAGCATAGCTTAGCGTTGGTTGTCGCAGGCTCTCCCTACTCACCGTGCATTAAATCTCGTCATTTGCAAACCCTCAGGAGAGCTCTGTGTTTTCTCAAATGCGAGCTCTGTGCCACGCCTCACCACCTGCCTGTGTGCCCTGTGCATGTGTCCCCCCTCCATGCGTGTGTACGTGCCCCCAGGTGACATGGTGTACTGGGCGGGGTACCCGCTCATCTGGCTGCTGGGCTGCCCCCATCAGGACATGCGGCAGCACGGCCAGCTGCCCGACCAGTTCTTCAAGGAGACCTCCTTCCTGCCCTTCGCTGCCATTGCTGAGGGCAGGAACTCCCTCAAAGACGCATTCAAGGAATTCCACAAGCCTGTGCTTGCCACCTCGCTCATTGTTCCCCTATTCTTTCTTTGATTGGTCACTTTCTGTGGGTTTATTCGTTTGAACCCAAATATTCTCACACCAGCAAGTTGTACAGTTACATAAGGCTGGTCTAGTTAAGTCAAGGCAGCAGGGAAGTGGGGCAGCAGCGGTAATCTAGTTACGTGAGTGTAATAGATCAGAGAGTCTACACGAAACGGATTCATCATCCAGCACTTCCCTCCCACTGCCTGTCTTTTTTACACCGCATAAACCAGGAAGTGGCGTAATCCTCTGTGGTATATAACACCGTGAGGTGCTTCGGAAAAGCAAATAAAACGCTAAATAACAAGGTGGGTGTTAATGGAGTGGATCATAATCTATTGTTACGGGTGCAATGAATCAAAGTAACGAGAATTGCACTAAGGTGTCAAACAAGTACAAAAATGTGAGCGAAGGCATGAGCGAACATTTATACGCGAAACATGTAAACGGTAACGCGGTGCGTGCGAGCTAGCTAGTGTTATGCTGGAAGCGAAGCTCGGGCTAGTCCCAAAGCGTAGGCCGACACGGCCAGGCTAGCAGTGCAAGATTCGGTGAAACACTGCGCGCGAAGTTGGCGGAGCCCCGTTAGCAATAACGGGCGAACAACGCCTGCTGCTGTACGCGATGTTGCAGGGCGCGCTAAGGAATATCGAGAAAATTCCTTACACTACCCCCCCCCCCCCCCCCCCCCCCCCCCCCCCCCCCTGCCCCCCTCAAGAAGCCCCCTCCGCTACGCAAGTGCGTGTATATCGCGGAAACCCCGGCTCCTCAGGTACACTTGCAGGGCAGGGTGGTTTTCGATGTTGGCCAGAGGCACCCAGCTATCTTCAGTTGGCGTGCGATCCTTCCAGCGAACGAGGAATTCAATCCTCCTGATTCCCGTAGGGTGTCGAATCCGATGGCTCAGGATTTTTTCGAGTTTGATGATCGGCTGCGATGCAGGGCGAGTCATGGATGGCGGGCGGTGACGGGGCAGTTGGCTTGTGGTTGGGATGTATGGGCGTAGCAGGCTGACGTGGAACGAGGGGCTTATTTACCAGTCCGCCAGCAATAGTAGGTGAGCTGTCAATGGGGTAATCATGTGGCTGATTTGGAATGGTCCACAGTAGCGGGGTCGTAATTTCGTTACGACGGGCAGTCTTAAGTTCAATGTGTCGAGCAGTACGCAATCCCCTGACTGGTACGTGACTGGGCGGCAGTGGCGGTCAGCGTTGCGTTTAGCGATGACGTTGGCTTTTTTAATTGCTTCGGCGGCTCTGGTGCGGGCAGCTTGTACTGTTTCGGCGAATTGCTGTGCACGTGGTATTGGGTTGTCCGGACTAGGCGTCATGGGCACTGTAGGGTTTTGCCCGTAGTTCAGGTAGAACGCGGACTGCTGCGTCGTCGCTGACGTGGCGTTGTTATACGCGAACTCTATTAACGGCAGCTGCTGCTCAGTGGTCGGGTCGTCGCACGTGGCACGAATCAAGTGCCCCATCGTCTGATTCGTCCGCTCCATTTGACCATCGGTCTTGGGGTGGTACGACGAGCTGAACTGTAGCCTTGTCCCGAACTGCTCCCAGAGGTTCTTCCAGAAGTTGCTGGTGAACTTCGTGTCGCGGTCGCTGATTATCGCGACTGGTTTCTCGTGCAGTCGAACGACGGTTGCGATGATTAGGCGAGCCGTTTCTTCGGCTAAGATCGATTTCTTGCACGCAGCGAAGTGTGCCATCTTCGTCAACCTGTCGACGACGACCATAACCGCGTCGTTACCTCCAGGGTTCGAAAGTAACCTGGTGACGAAATCCATGGTAACCTGCTGCCAGGCTCGTTCAGCCGGTGGGATCGGCTGCAATTGACCCGCCTTTCTTTTTCGCGAGCTCTTCATCACCTGACACGTAGGAAACGAGCCCACGTGGTGCTGTACGTCGGTCAACAGCTCCGGCCAGTAGTAATACCGCTGCAGTTGCTGTCACGTTTTTTCTACCCCGAAATGTCCCGAGGTAATCTCGTCGTGTGCCTCCTACAATAACAGTTCCATCAGTAGCGAGTACGCGGGTACCCAGATGCGGTTGGTGCCTGTTGTCAGAACATTATAGCTTATGCATATTGTGTAGGCTATAGTGGGGTAGCCCATAAGGGGTACAACCCGATTAGGGTTATTACTTGTACCCAATTCATTCATAGTTCAGTCATTCCTTGTTTCTTCTCATGGTATCAAGTAGGTTCCCTAACGGGAACGATTCCTAGGGCCCACCACTACGATTTTTTTTTTCCTGCCCGGAGCGCGCTCCACTCAGCCCAAGTCGCGCTCCGTGTGCTCTCCCTACCGGCGCGCCCTCGCTAGGCCCCTCATGGCCCCGTCGCGTCGCCCCTAGCGGCCCTCTCACGGCCCGTCGCGCCGCCCTTACGGCCCGTCGCGCCGCCCTTAGTGGCCCGTCGCGCCGCCTCCTTTGCGGCCCCGTCATATCGCCCTCAGCAGCTCGTCGCCGCCTCCTTCAGCGGCGTCGCCGCCTCCCCCTTGCGGCCCGTCGCCGCCTCCCCCTTGCGGCCCGTAGCCGCCTCCCCCCTTGCGGCCCGTCGCCGCCTCTTACAGCGGCCCCACCGGCCCCACGCGCCGCCCTAGCGGCCTCTTGCGCCGCCTGTCGGCCCCACTTGCCGCCCTTGCGGCCCTTCGAGCCGCTTGTCGGCCCACCGTGAGCCGCCCTAGCGGCATCGATGCCGCCCTTCCCGGACCCGACGCCACCTTGGCTGGCCCCTGCGCCTGCTCCTACGGCCCCAGCGCCTGCTCCTACGGCCCCGGCGCCTGCTCCTACGGCCCCGGCGCCTGCTCCTACGACCCCGGCGCCTGCTCCTACAACCCCGGCCCCTGCTCCTACGGCCCCGGCGCCTTCTCCTGCGGCCCCGGCGCCTGCTCCTACGGCCCCGCTGCCGCCCTTCCCGGCTCCGACGCCGCCTCCTACCGGCCCCACCGCCGTCCCTAATCAGGAGCTGCAGCCGCCAAACCGCCCACCGACCGAGCCGCCGCGCCGCCGAGCCGCCCAGTAACAAAGCAGCCGAGCCGCCCAACCGCCGAGCCGCCCAGCAGCAGAGCCGCCGAGCCGCCCAGCAGCCGAGCTGCTGAGCCGCCTAGCAGAGGAACCGCCGAGCAGCCTAGCAGCCGAGCAACCGAGCAGCCGAGCCGCCGAGCCGCCCAGCAGCTGAGCCGACGAGCCGCCCAGTAGCCGAGCAGCCGAGCCGCCCAGCAGCCGAGCCGCCGAGCCACCCGAGCCGCCGAGCCGCCCTGCAGCTGAGCCGCCGAGCCGCCCTATCCGGTAAGAGCAGCGCCTCTACCCCTGCACTCCCCTTACCCTACTGTTCGTACTGCTAGTCTACTGCTGTCATGGCTACCCCTAGTGTCCTAACTTTTGACACTGAGGGTAGGGCCATTGACTTTGACGTCTAGGTTGACGACCTGCAGCTTTTCTTACAGTGCGATAGAGCAGACGACCTCTCCCTCTTTGACCTCACTTCTGGTGCCTCTCTTGCCCCCGCTACTGATGTTGATGCCACTGTTTGCTCACAGTGGGCCACGCGCGATGCTGCTGCACGTCTTGCTGTGCGTCGCCACCTGCCTACCTCTGAGCGTGCGCACTTTAGCCAGTACAAGAGTGCTCAGACCTTGTACGACGCTGTAGTTGCACGCTACTCATCCCCTGCCACTGCTGCACTGAGCCGCCTCATGCTACCGTACCTCTTCCCTGACCTTGTTGCCTTTCCCACAGTCGCTGACCTCATTATGCACCTCCGCACTAGTGACACTCGCTACCGCACTACGCTTCCTGCTGAGTTCTGCGCCAAGAACCCCCCCCCCCCCATGTACATCACCCTCTACTACATAGTCACTCGTCTCCCTGACTCCCTTCGCGTAGTCAGGGACCCCTTCCTCTCAGTTTGCCCCACCATTCTCACCGTTGACCTCCTCGAGAAGGCCCTCCTAGCAGCAGAAAAGAGCATAGTCGCTGTAGGAGCCTCTCGTGGTGACCCTCCCACCCCCATCTTCGAGTGGTGTTCCCCCTCCCCTCTTTTGCCCTCTGTTGCCTCTGCTGCTGCGGCCGACCTCGTTGGTCTCGAGTCAGTCGGTGCAGCGTCTACCCCTAGTGGGAAGCGTCGCTCTAGCAAGGGCAAGGGGGGCAGGTGCGGTGGAGGAGCTCGCGGGGGCCGTGGAGGCGGCAGTGGAGGCAGTGGAGGGGGTGGGGGTGGTGGTGGGTGTGGTGGCGGGGGTGGAGGTGTCGGCGGCGGCAGTGGAGGCGGAGGCGGCGGCGGCGGTGGCAGTGGGAGCGGAGGTGGTTGAGGTGGCGGAGGTGGAGGAGGCGGTGGCGGAGGAGGAGGAGGAGGAGGTCATGGCTCTTCGTAGAGAAGTGGCTCCGGTGGTGGTCACCGCCAGTCGCAGCAGCGCAGTCGGGAGACCCTGTCCCCTCAGCAGCTCCGTGAGTGGTACGCTGCACGCCAGCGGGGTGGGGGTACTGGTCCGTGCACCTACGTCCTGCGCACCGGCGACCTTGCGGGTGAGCAGTGTGGGGGTGCGCACCCCACCCAGCGCTGCTTTGGCCGCCTGACGGACGCTTGGCGTCACCAGTTCCCTGAGGCCACTGAGATCCCTCGCTGGGGCGAGCTGTCTAGGGCAGGGGTAGCTGTCTTTGACCTTGACTTTGATTCTATTCTTGCTGCTATGTATGCTGTGTCTATAAGTGATGAGGGTGACTGTTACCGGTGTTTCCCGCCCGACTCGGGCATTGAGACTGCTGCTCTAGGAGCTGGTGAGGCTGCTGCTCTTGGTGCTAGCGAGGCTGCTGCTCTAGGTGCTAGTGCGTCTTCTTCCTCTGGTACAGGTGAGTCTGCGCTCTCAGGTACAGCGTCGGCTTCGGCCTCCCACACCTTCACACTTGACTCGGGGGCTTCTCGCTCCTTCTTTCGAGACCGCAGCACACTCACGCCGCTTGGTCGGCCAGTTGCAGTCTCCCTGGCAGACCCCTCTCGGGGTCCTATCC